CTTCCATCACAGCCTATCTTCATGCCATGGACCAAACAATAGTAACGTCAGCTGCAAATGGTTTACCTTATAGCCGTTCTTAATTTTAAAAATGTTTGTTATATTTTATTTATTTGTGCATGTATGTGTTTCCACATGCCACAGCATCCTTGTGGATGTCAGGGGACAACTTGTTGGAGTCAGTTCTGGTTCTGTCATTATACCATGTGGGTTCCAGGGATTGAGCTCAGACCATCAACCTTGGTGGCGAGCACCCCTAGCCAACTGGGTCATCTTGTTCATGGGCATAAAGTGTTAAATTTCCTGAGCCATTTGTTGTCTTCTTTCCTCCTTATTGTAGAGTCAGGGGGTTAGCATGACCCAGGACAAGGGATCTCAGAGCACAGCTCAGACTAGCATGCATTCATCTTTTTTTTTTTGCTCAGATTTAAACTCCCATCAAGCACAAAGAGCCCACGACAGCTTACTAATATAATTTACATTACAGGTGCGCTCTCAAAACCCTCCAGTGTCACAGCTCAGATGATTACTCTTGTCACTTGGCCATTCTGACATATATGCAATAGAGTCTTGAGTGAAAGACAAGTCGGAAGGGCACGGGCTAAATACTAATCGCAAGAAAACTGGTTTTTATGCATTGTATCCCTCTATGCCATGCACACTGTTTAAAGTGAGAACTTTGCAGCAGATGTCATCATACTTTAAAGATGGGCAAGAATGTAGGCCCAAAATAATGAAGTTGAAGTGCTTGTTCTAAGTTATTTAACAACTACCTCAAAGGTCGATAGTTGAAACTCAAGTCTTTCAAACTCCAGATCTAGCACAGTTCTCATGTATCTCAGTGCTAGGAACAGAATATCTAGGTGTGTGTGGCATGGGCAAAGCAACTGTACAAGATATGGTGTGGATGTGTCTGGATTTGGAACTGCCTTAGAATTTATTGCTGGGAACTCAGCTACCCCAGCATTTTGATTTTCTTCCCCGTTCTCCTTTCTGCTCTTCCCTAAACTTGGTTCACTAGAAAAATACAACACATCCCCTGGATGCTAAGACCAGTGACTTGGCCGCAGTGGTTCCTTGGCTTGTGGTAGAGTTGCATCATGCCCTCTCTTACCTGGCCCTCATGCTCGTGAGCTACAGCTTCCTACTCCTCAACTTTGGGTTGAAACATGTAACTCATTTTGGCCATAAAGATCTTCATAACAAAGAAACAACCAGAAATATGCTTGAACATTCCTCTTGTCCTTTTGTGCTCCAGAATTTCATAATAAGCACATGTCCTGAATAACTATTTCCTAGGACAAACATACCTGGAGTGATTTGGAATGAACTTATAGTAGGGAGCCAATATCAGCTAACCTGCAGCCTGAAATAGAGTCCAGGTTAGCTAAACTATGTACCTAAAGACTTATATGTAAGAATAAATGTCAGTGGCTTTTAGTGTACACACACACACACTGAGAGAGCGAGTGAGAGAGAGAGAGAGAGAGAGAGAGTTAAATATTGTACTTCTAAGTCACAAATATAGACATGGTATGCACTGAAATTTACTAGACATGCAGAACAAGAAGAAGAAAGCTATTTTCTTTTTCTTTCCGAGTTAGTCAGTAGAGAAAGACACAAATGAAGTCTCCAAAATGAAGGGATCTGGATTCATGGCCTGGGACATGAGGGATAGCGTGATTGCTCTGTACTTGTTGGACTAGGGTTTGCTGAAGGGTGAAAGGTGGAGAAAATCTCTGCCAGGGAGAGTGCACGTCTCCAGCACGACTTGTAAGCTCCATCCTTGAAACCAAGCGAAGGCTGCTTGTCACTGGAAGTGGGCTAAGGAACAAAGGGACAAAGCAATGGCTCTTTTGGCTCCCTGCCCTGCAGCCTTACAAGTGAAATTAGTGCATTGCTAAACATAGCTGTCATGTTACTAATCGACCTCATTTCACTTCATAGCCCCGTAGAATGCCACCTTCAGCTAAATAGGGCTTAGGCTTTATTAGAAATACTGGCATGTTTTGCTTATGAAGTAAGCTGTAGATTAAAGTCACTAAAACAAAGGATTAAAAATGAAGCTGCTCAAGGCAGCTTTTGTCTCAGTCTAGATTATCACCTGATGAAGGAATTACCACAGCAATATATTACTCATAGTTTTGCAGGTGGGATTTACTATAATAGTTAATGAAAAACATATGAAGTTTATCATGAAATACGTTGGTGTGGTGTGCCTGGTACCCAGAGGATCTTAGCACCAGTACGAGTCTTTGGTACATGAAGACAAAGATGCCGAGAGGAAGAGGTTTATTTTAAGAGAGTCAACTTTGTGAAGTAGACAGCAAGGTTGGTGCTTTAGCAGGGCTTACCTAGGGATGTGCGGTAATTCCTAGTTTAATCCATAGATTTCCCCATGGTACTAATTCCCATTTATTTTCTTAGAGTCCTTGAACTTCTGACACAGAAAACTGTATGTTATTGGTAGGGATCCTTCTGCCTCTTCGGGTATATAAATGACCCATCCAATGACTGAGTTGAAGTCTCAAAGAATGTCTTTATTATGCGCATGGAGTTCTTTTTCTTTTAGCCTTTTTCTTTATGGTCTTATGTTATAGATTATAAACACAACTTATTAGTGGCATACAACTGTAACATGATGGCTGGCTTGTTGGGGTTTCTGTCCCGCCTGGTACCCCACAGCCAGCATATCCCAAAGAAAATCACACACAAGACTCCATAAGGTTATAAACTGATTGGCCCATTAGCTCAGTCTTCTTATTAACTAATTCTTACATCTTACGGTAACCCATAATTCTACTCTGTGTTAGCCATACAGCTTGGTACCTTTTTCAGCTGTCAGCTCACATGTTGCTTCTTTGGTGGTCTGGGCAGGAATGGCAGAGGGAGCTTCCTCCTTCCTAGCCTTCTCCTGTCCTCTACTTCCTGTCTGGTTGCCCCGCCTCTACTTCCTGTCTGGTTGACACACCTATACTTCCTGCCTGGCCAATCTGCGTTTTATTAAAACACATGATTGACAGAATACAGACAATTCTCCCGCACTATACAACTATTTGGGGAGGTGGGAGAGGATAAATGGTAGTCATTAGATAAACAGAAACTGGGGTCTTTGAGATATCTCAACAAATCTCAACAAGCTTTGACATTAGCTGTGCAAGCCTAGAGACCTGGTTTCAATCCCTAGGACCCACATAAAGGCGGAGGAGAGAATTACTCCCCAAGCAGTTCTCTGATCTCCATGCCATGTCATGTGCCACATGAAGGAATAAATAAATTTTATTTTTAGTAATGAAAGAAACCAGGAACATTATATCTTACTGCCTCTCTTCTATTCAAGTTACAAAACCTCACTATGATCAAGTATTTGCATATTGAAGCAATTAGCTCTCCTAAATTGAAACTCAAAGTGTTGTACATAAAATTAAGGGCTATGATACTACATCCTCGTATACAATCAATAATCACAAGCTTCCTTGAAACCACAGATTTGCCTTTTGGTTCTAAAGCTCAGAAGCCTGATGTAGACCTAAAATCAAGGTGCTGGTGGGCTGCATATGGCTCTCGGAGTCTGGGGAGCAGGTCTCCTTACAGCTTCCTGCTCCCAAGGCTTTCCAGGGCTTCGTTGCTACATCACGTCGACACTGACTCTGCCACCTCCGTCTTCAGTACTCAATAATTCTGAACTTGCATGGGCTCCACCTTATGAGCCAGGACATTTCCCCCTGTTTTGGGACTGATTTGTAAACTTCTGTCTGGTGTTTTACAAATAGTACTGTAGGTTTCACTTACAGATAAAGATAATTTGAAAGTTAGATGGTCTCCAGCACCAAACGACTTGTAAAAAACAGACAGAAAGAGTGAACAGAAAGGCTTTGAGTGACAACTATATTTTAATGTTTTTCTTGGTTTGTTTTAAAGCTCTGTTTCTGGAATCCTAGGTTTGACCTCAGCAAACAGACATGCTTTCAAGCAGTCATCCTGATACCTATGTATCCAACTCTCTTTTTCCCTTTCTTTTTTCTTTCTTTCTTTTTAGGTATGATGTATGTGCTCAGGTGTGTGTGTGTGTGTGTGTGTGTGTGTGTGTGTGTGTGTGTGTGTGCGCATGTGTGTACGTGGAGGTCAGACGTCGATGTGAGGTGTTTTCCTCATTGATCTCCACCTTATTTTGTGAGACAGGGTCTTTCACTTATTCTGGAGTGTATTGATATGCTAGGCTGGCCAACCAGTGAGCTTCAGGGACCCATTTATGTTTGCTCCACCAGCACCGAAGTTATAGACGTGCACCTCCATGGCTGCCTTTTATGCAAGTTCCAGGGATCTAAACTCAGATCCTCATGTATTTGCAGCAAGCTCCAGCAGAGATATCTCTCTAGTGCCTCCAATACGTCCTTCATTGTTTCCCCTTTCCTTTAAAACATCCGAATTTCTAATAATCCCTGCTTCATCCTTTTCTCTTTCTTCCTGGAGTATGTCATCCCTTACATTCATACCTATTTCCAGCTCTTACATGCTAGCTTGTCCCTGATTCCATGGTCATATTGCTTCTAGTGCCATTTTTTCTAGAAGAGGAGAAGGAGGAGAAGAGGAAGAGGGGAGAAGAAAGATGATGTTTAGTTGACTCCATATTTTCATTAGAACAGAGTTTACAAACACTTTAGCATGGCTAACCATTTCCTCTTGGGTTTCAGATTCATCTCACAGTACTTCACCTTCATTATGCTCTGCATGGCTTCATGGATTGACCTAACTGGGGAGACAAGGGAGTGAAGACAGGCTAACCATGCAGACACTCATAACAGGAAAACATGGAGGTGCTTGCTCTCATGGAGGACACTAACTACAGCAGCAGCAACAGTAAGTAGAAACTCAGCTTGTTTATCTTATACATCTGAATTGAGGAAGCAGGTATACTGTATACAGCCAAATAAGGAGAAAACTTCATGGTATATAGCTAAACAAGGAGGAAGATTTAATTAACCTTGTTGGGGGATGGGGTTCTTTGTAGTTCAGCTGTTTCAGGACATCATTCAAGAGGGGAAAGCTGTGGTTGCTAGGTTTTGCACATCCTTGTCATAATACTCATCCTTGGACTGGAGGAAGGCTTTGCCATGCCTCCGAGTCTCACCCAGGGAAGGTTTTGTCACTCCCGTGAGTTTAAGGCACTGGGGTCCCCGGCATGACCATGCCCATGTTAACAACATACATTCACTCAAGATGTTATCTGCTTCTCACTCATTCCCTCAGAGTTCCCGCTGCTGAAGACACCTTCCATTCCCTCTTCAAATGCTGATTCTTTGTCCGTTTTCTGTTATAAAACCTGAATGACCAGAAGTGAGTAAATTATGAGTAATAAAGGTTTATCTAGCTCACCGTTCTGGAGGCGAGGTAGTGCAGATGTGTCTTCACTTGTCAAGGGCAGTCTTGCTGCACTGTGACAAAGGAGAAGACAAGGAACGGCGAGTCAGATCAAGAATGCTAGATTGGTCTCTTTCCCCCTGATAAATCCACTAATGCCAATATCGGGGTCCTACCATCATAAGCATGTGTACTTATTCACCCCAAGAATCCATTTCCTCATCAACAAATGAATTCAGGGATTGACTTTCAGAGTGCACATTTCACCACAACCTTGAGAAGATCTGAGTTTCCGTGGGCTCCTTATTTTCTCAGTGTTCTCTTTGTAAGAACAAGTGAATGCTTTTTGGAATGCCTTAAATCTCTTCCTCCTCCTCTTCTTCTATGGGCAAATCCCAACTCTTTTGTGTTAGTCTGGATTTTTTTTTTAGAGGAACAGAATTGATAGCACGAATATATGTGATTTATTAGAGTAGCCGTGGTCCCGCTCATCCAATAATGACTGCCTCCCAACAGAAAAGCTAAGAATCCCATAGTTCTTTAGTCCCTGGAGCTGGATGTTTCAGCGGGTCTTCAATCTATGTTGGAATCCTAAAGAAGTAGACTTTCATGCCAGTGAAAGAGTGCCGTACCAGCAGGATACGTGAATTTTCCATGGAGACAAAAACCAAAAGCTTCCTTCTTCTGTGTCCTTTTTTATAGGTTGTTACCTGGAGGTATGGGCCATATTTAGACCGGATTTTCTGATCTCAAATGATCTAGTCAAGAAAATCCTTCATGGGCATGCCCAGTTGTTTGGGTTTTAGTTGATTTCAGATTCAAGTCGACTACCAAGATTAGCCATCACATCCCCCAGGCTTCAGGTAACTTTTACTTTTTAAAAAAATATTAGTAGTGTGTGTGTGTGTGTGTGTGTGTGATAATAGTGGTGGTGGTGGTGATGATGGTGGTGGTAGTGGTGGTGGTGTGTGTACGCTGGTTAGTTTTGCCAACTTCACACAAGCTGGAGTCACATGGGATAAGGGAACCAGAGCCAAGGTATTCCCTCCAGCAGATTGGCCTATGGACAGGTCTATGGGGGCATTTTCTTGTATGATGAATGATATAGAAGGGCCCAACTCATTGTAAGTGATGCCACACTGGGCCGGTTGTCATACATTGTATAAGAAAGCTGAGAAAGCCATGTAAAGCAAGCCAGTCAGCAGTGTGTCTCTGTGGCTTCAAGCTCCTGCCTGTCTTTCTTCCCGGGCTTTTCTTGATGATGGATTCTAATCTGTAAGATAAAACAACAGCAACAAAAGAACCTTTCTTTGGACAGTGTTTCATTATAGCAATAAAGAAAAAAAAACTAAGTGTGTATAAACACACACACACACACACACACACACACACACACACACTCGTGCTCTTGGGAGTCAGTTCTCTTTTTCCACCAGGAGACTTGGGGCTTGTTGTGTGATATTTTGATTGTATTCTGACACTTCCAAGACTGACAATAAGGTTTGCTTTGAATCATAGGAGAGAGCTAGTACTAGTTGACTAAAATTAACCTTAGGGGTTTTGGAGAAGGACTGAGAATAGATAGAGAGACATAGGAAATAGTAGGGTGGAGCTTAGAGAGGGTCTTGACCCTTTCTGATCAAGAAACCAGAGGGGGAGGAGTGGGGGGATGTCACTAGTTGCTTCTCTACCACTTCTCTGATCATTAAGGTTCTTTATGATATCTGACTCTTGAGTTTTTATGGATGAAGAATAATTAGATAATGCTTCAAGGGTTCATGTCCATTCAGGTTGTCAGGCTTGATTGGCAAGCATTCTTACCTACTGAGTTATATTTCCAGTCCCAGGTACATCTTAGGTGACACCTAGTCTAGATCTTCCCTTAAATTTCCTTTGACACCACAGTACTCTGATTTTCCTCTGCTAACCCACTTTAACCCTGGCTGCAGCTTCTTTGATTAGAGGCCTTTATTCCATAGTGTAAGTAAGCTCCATGGGAATGGGCATGGTGTCTTAACCACTTTTAGTTTGATATTTAGCAATTATATATGCACAAATCTGTGTTCTAAAAACTCATAAAGAAGGAAGCAAGCTATTTTCTTCTTTCTTTCTTTCTTTCTTTCTTTCTTTCTTTCTTTCTTTCTTTTCTTTCTTTCTTTACAAGAGACTTAAAGCCATAGAACCAAGAATTAGAGCCTCAGGTTTAACTTGGATCCTCAGTCCTGCCTTTAAAAAGTCCCCCTGGTGTTGGTGGGAAAAGTGAACTTTCTGATATCTCATCATGATTTTCTAAATTTATCTAAAGACAAGTAGAAACTTGGAGAAGGTTTGTCCAGTGAATTAGAACATGGAGACCATTGTACTCACTGGCCGGTGAGTCAGCCCCTTTCAAGCATTCCCCTGAGGACATGAGCTGGTTAAAGACCCAACCATAATGGTTCTCAGCACTGCTCACAGTGATTCAAGCAAGAAGGAAAAAGGGTTTGTGTTTATTCATGTAAAAGTGGGATGACAGCATCATTCCATTCATTAGGAATTTAAGAACAATTCAAAACAGAAATAGGAATAACAATAACAAAACCCTCAGTGTTTTCATAGATGAGCTGGAAACCTGACTTTCAAAGCTTGGATTTTAGTGTAGCACATCCCCCTATTTACTATCTATAGTAAATAGTATATTTACTATACTATATATACTATTACTATATTCCATTTTATAAGTTATTTGAATTTGTCAAATATTTGTATGATTAGAAAAATCTTAAAGCAATTCAAAGGATTTATCTGAAAATTTCTACTTGTTTGGAAGAAATTAGAGTCTAATCGGTTATTGTGATTACCAATCTTCATTGTCAACCAGACTAGATTTGAAGACACCTTTAGGTGTGTCTGTGAGGGAGTCCCCAAGAGGAAAAACTAAGGAGGGGAGGCACAGCCTGAATGTGGGTGGCACTATTCCATGGGCTGGTGTGGGAGAATTGTCTGTATTCTGTCAATCATGTTTTAAATAACTGCTGATTGGCCAGGCAGGAAGTATAGGCAGGAAAACCAGATAGGAAGTAGAGGTGATGCAATGAGAACAGGAGAATTCTGGGAAGGAGGAAGTTGATTCCTCCCAGTCCTGCACATTACCTGCCAGTTGAAAAAGGTACCGAGCCATATGGCTAAAATAGATCAGAATAATGGGTTAATATAAGTCATAAGAGCTAATGAGAAGCCTGAGCTAATGGGCCAATCAGTTTATAACTTATGGAGACCTCTGTGTGGTTTTTTGGGGGCTTGCTGGCTGTGGGGTACTGGGTGGGACAGAAAACCCCAACAAGCAGGCCCCATCATGTTACAATGGGCTGGGAGAATAGACTGATTAAGAGAGACAAGGAGAAAGTGAATTTAGTACCAGCATTCTTGTCTTCCTGCTTCAGACACAATGTGAGCAGTCACTTCATGGCCCTGATGTGACGTCTTGAGCAGCTCTTGCCAACATGCTTTCTCTGCCATAACGGATGGTATGATGAATGATTCTCAAACTGGGAGCAGAAGCAAACCCTTCCTTAAGCTGTTCTTGTCAGTGACTTGTGTCCCAGTAACAAGAAAAGTGGCTAACATTGTTATCACACTACTAACACATCCAGATATTTCTGAGGCCAGAAACTTGGGAGGCTATTCCAGTTGTCTCTCAGATATTTGCATTTAAATCAATTTCACATTGGTGGGTAGACTGGCACCCACTCTTACCACCCTTGGGCATAAACAAGTTCTTTTTAGAGTTGGAGATTGGAGTCCTTTGATAAATGGGTGCACTCTGTTGGCTTGTTAAACTCAGGAAGTAAGGAGTTGGGTAAAGGGGAGAGGAGCAGGTCACTTGAATGTTCAAATGCACTTTTCTAAGATGAACTCCCTGTCTCTTGGCACTTAGCTCCTCAAAGCTAAGAGTAGTGGTTTGAATGACCAGGTCCTGCGCAGGCTCAGATATTTGAATACTTGATCCCCAATCGGTAGTATTATTAGAGGACACTTGGAAGGTGTGAGCTTGGTAAAGGAAGTATATCACTGGGGATGGGCTTTGAAGTGTCAAATTCTCATGCACGCTCTCTGTTTCATCGCTGAGTTTGAGATAGGAACTCTCAGAACACTTTTTAACCTCTTGCATAAATGCATGGAAAACCTGTTGAATTTAAAAACAAACCTCAGCATCCACTCTTTTCTTTACTATTAACTCTTTAAGAGTTTTGCACAGTGTCTTTTGATCATACTCACTTCGTACCCTAATCTTTTATTTGGATGTCTGTCTGCCCACTCATCCTCCTTCTGGTTCTTTCAACATTTATTGATTTATTGATCACCTACTACATGTGAGAACTGCAAGAAAGAGAGGGGCAGGGTGATTGATGACTAATGGTGAGCAGCACCAGCTGGCTTTAGAGTTAGACAAGAGTAATAACTACAACCACACGCTAGGCGTGGTGGCCCAGGCCCATAATTACAGCCCTTGTGAGGCTGAAGCCAAAGAATTGTTGAGAATTGGAGTTCAGCCTGGGCTATATGGTGAGTTCAAGGCCAGTGTCCTAATCCTACCTCCTCTAAACAAAATCTAACAAATAAAAAGCAGAATAGCAATGGAGTCTGCAATCAAGGATGGTCATATGAGGATTTAGAATGGGGTGGTATTGAGGTAGGAAACTACCCAAGTTTCAGACTGCATTCAAATGATGAAAATTCAACTTCTCCCCCTGCCACCAATGACCCTTTTCCTACGCAGCCCCACTGAGTTACATGATTGACAGGACCACATTAGATCCCAGTGGTGTGGATGTCCAGAAAAGGTTGAGGTCATGGACTAAGAGAACATAGTGATTTCTTAAGGATACTGAGGAAACCTTGGAGTATTTCATTGAACAGACACCATTTTTGAGGAATCAGAGGTTAGTCAGTCCAGAGGCATTTTAGGCAAACAACACAAAATTATAACATGCAATGGTATGGAAAAAGAAAGAGGGATTGGTTGTATCTAGGAAACATTAAGGTGGTCTATAGCTGCTGTAGCGTGTGTGTGTGTGTGTGTGTGTGTGTGTGTGTGTACATGTACACATGCGTAGTAGACCAGTGGATCAAATCTGCTTGATAATATAGCTTGGGACCAAATTTTGATGGGAAGTAAACCCTTTACCAGAAATGTTTATCTTGCTTTGTGGATGAGCAATGTCAATAGTCTCACAACCAACCCTGTCTCCACGGTCAGATTCCAATCCCAAGAATAGTCTGCTCACAATGCCATCTCGCTGGCTTCCTTCCCACCTCTTCTCCTTTTCAGGACAACTGAATTTCCAGACATTAATATGAACCAGTGGCTGAAAAAAATGCCCTCTGTCAACCTGTTTATCTTGTTAGTGACATGAATAATCAAGTTCAATTGGGTTAAACAAGATGCAACACACTGTCAAAAACCATTAGCCGTATCAGAGCCTCAAGCCACGAAAAGCTCCTTCTGTGTATTTTAGAGTTTTTCTCATGAAAGGAGACATTCAAAATAAAGGAAACAATATATTTCATTTACAAGCCCAGAGTCCTTCAGGGTTAGGGTCAGCTTATTTTTTATGATTTTTATGATTTTATGATTATATTTTCATGATTTTTTTTCTCCTCCTCTTGGGATGTAGGAGTAGCGCTCTCTACTTGACAATCCTTCAAGTACAGTCGGTTCTTGTTGAGATTAAAAACCTGCATGCATCATACAGTTTAGGTGTGATCTTTATTTGCAAAGGGAACAAACGACGAACTGTCTAAAAAACTACTAGGGGCACCAGCATAGGATACTCCCCTCTTTTCCCACCTCCTGGAACTTCTGCTGTATTTTTCCAGGCTCAATGGCATCACACACCGGCCAGTTTCCTGCAGGTTTTCAGGTAGAATGGTTGTGCGCTGTAATGAACAAGGCGCCAATGACTAATGGGATTGTCAGGAGTAGAAAATGCTGAGAGGGCTAACACAAAAAACGGACAAACAGGAATCTGCTCCCCCCACCCCCACAAAACGTCTGAAAGTAAGACACAAGTGGACTTGCCTTTGAGCAGTCCTGTGCTCCGTTCACCTGACTGTTTCCTTTAAGGAAAGAAACTGCAGACAAAAGGAATCCACGACACTTTCGATTTAATAACTTCTAGAATGACAAGAGAATGGAGATTATTTATCCTGCCTGGTGCATTTTCCACACGTGAACTGTTCCTGCTGAGGTGATCGATGAAGCTGGAAATAGGAGATGTAGAGGCCCGCACTACCATCCTGCTTTCTTGTTTGCGCGTAATTATCTGTCACGTGATAACAATGGGTGGGAGTGAGTGAAAAGAAAGCGAGGAAAGAGAGGAGAGACTCAGTGCTTCCCGTCCCTCCATCCTCACAGACGGCTGGAGGGCTGTGGAGTCACAGCGTATGCTTGCTTGCCAGGAACGCTTCTGCTCTAACGCTTCTCGTGGTTCTCAGTGAGGTGTGGACGGGAGGACGTGAATTCTAGTGTTGAGAAAGTATGCCTATAAGTTCACAAGCCTAGAGAAACCAAATAACCAGGTGAACCCAAAGAAAAACACATATAGATCTGCCTGGAAATTGGAAGCAAACAAGATTGCGGGACAAAAGTGGGGAGCATGGGAGTGGGGGTAGGGGTGAGGGGGAGAGGGAAGGGAGAAAGGAAAGACTGGAGAGAGCTTGAGGGAGTAGGAGGGTGGAGATGGAGGAAGGGCGGATATATAGAAGCAGGGAAGAAGATATCTACATTAAGGGAGCCATTTTAGGGTTGGCAAGAGTCTTGGCTCTAGAGGGAATCCCAGGTGTTCACGGGGATGCCCCCAGCTAGGTCCTTGGACAGCAGAGGAGAGGGTGCCTAGACTGTCCTTGCCCCACTATCACACTGATGATTATCTCGAATATCACCATAGAATCTTCGTCCGGCGATGGAAGGAGATAGAGACAGAGACCCTCTTAAGAGCAATGGACTGAGCTCCCAAGGTCCAGTTGAAGGGCAGAAGGAGGGAGAAGATGAGCAAGGAAGACAGGACCGTGAGGGGTTGGTCCACCAACTGAGGCAGTGTGCCTGTTCTAATAGGAGCTCACCAAATCCAGCTGGACCGGGTCTGAATGAGCATGTGATCAAACCGGACTCTCTGATTGTGGCTGACAATGGGGGCTGACTGAGAAGCCATTGATAAAGGCACTGGGACCTGTTTTTACGGCATGTTCTGGCCTTTTGGGACCCTAGTCTATATGGATGCACAGCTTCCTAGGCCTGGATGTAGGGGGAAGGGCTTTGGACTTCCCACAGGGCAGGGTTCCCTGCCCTCTCTCAAGCAGGGAGGGGGCGGGAGGAGGATGAGTGGGGGAGCAGGAGGGGTTTGGGAGGAGGAGAGGAAGTGTAAATTTTTGAATGGAAAAAAATAATAAAAAAGAAAGTATTCCGTGTTCTCCAGTGGCCAGCGTGGAGAGTTCTGTTTGCTGGGAGCACTGCCAAGGGCCCTTAAACATTGCTCATGTGTTTCCTAGGCGATAAGACCATATACAACACTTTCAGCTTTGAAGTACAGAGGAGACGGGAGGCTGGTAATCCAGGTTATATTATGGGAGCAACACCAGAGTGGCTGGCACTGTTTATCTTTGCTGCCCCATTTGGCACTGGAATCTTATCTATAATTGTCAGCTGGGAGTCTCTCAGACCTGGTTTCCCAACTTAAGTATCCAGAGTGGTCTCTTGTCTTTGGACTTCTGAACAAAATCAAGGAGTTATTGAGATAATTGAAGGTACACATCGTAATGAAAGCTGAGTTCCCATTATCTTAAGCACAAAGGCTTACAAATTTCACGTAAAAAATTGTAGAATTTCTCCAAAATACTCCAAAATAATTAAATATATGATTTAATAGTATTTGGCCAGGTCCTGTTTTATTTTCTGTTCTTTAAAAAATCCATGTCCCACAGGTTTTTATCAGTATGACCCTTACTGTCACCAACAGACTTTCACTAAGATGGTCAATTCTTTATATGCTGGTTTTAGTAATGACAGACCTTCTTTGGTCATTGAAGGACCATTTACTATGGTCTTTATGAAGTTTACCGAGAGACCGTGACAGTCCTTCACTCTGCTGGCCTTTGGTACTATCTGGAATAGCTTGTCTTGTTCACTCTTAAGATCCCTCCTGACTGTATGTCTCTTCATTCCAGAACCACGGACACTATTAAAGTCACCTCTCATTGGAACAAGGAGTAACTGAGTTTGAGTTGAATGGATCACATTGCCTGTGGAAACAGAACCGAGTTTCCTCCTTGGCTGTTGCAGACTCTGGGGCTGTGATTAGTGTGGTATCTCACCGGGCCACAAATTGTCTTATGATACATACTAAAATACCCTCTAAGTGTTTTCAGAATATGAGGAATAGTTTATTAGCCACTTTGTAGTATTTCAAGAAGAAATAACTTGCATAATCAACCTTCAAAATTTTAATGAATTTCTATAGTGTACTTGTTGGCCTGCTTATAATCTATTAATAATTTGCTATGTGCTGCCACCCATGATATAACAGACTTTTAGAGAATGAAAAAATACTCTAAAGTACTTTCTATTCATATTCTAGCAGGTAAATATGGCATAATAAGAAGCCTGTAAACATCACTAGAATAGTTGATACTTGGAAAATACATTGTGATCGACTGTGTGTGCAATATATGCATTGCCCAGCAGGGTCTTTAGGCTCCATTAGCTTTACTGAAGTTGACAAGCTTCTTTCTGATCCAGGGCTCCTAACCTCCTTCTCCTCAGCACATTTACTTTTAGAACCTGTGTAACTGAACGTCCCTTCTTTCAGCTTTGATATGTAAATCTTTTTTTCACCCTCTTTCTAGTTTTACAGCTTAGGATGGCCTTTCATAAGGACCTGGGCAACTTTGGAAATGAAATCACGCAGGAGGATGCCACTCCTCACTCCCTCCTCTCTGGGGAGAAAGAGACGAACTTTGATGGGCAGCGTTTGAAACGCAGATGGGACCGAATCAGAGAAAAGCGTTTGCAAACTCCGTGCGCTTTTGCCTCGCCAACGCCACCCCTCCAGAAACAGCCTCTGGAACGCTTCCAGTTGCTCGCCACAGCTCCCAAAGAATAATCTGTCCTTCGTTTCAATCCATTTTGAGTTAGGCTCAGCTCTGGCCTTTCTCCCTTACTGTAGTAGCTTCAAATCAAGTTTTCCTTGCTGACTTCACTTCCTATAGTACTAAGTTTACTATAACAGACTCACCAACCTTCATACAGGTTACAGAAAACTTTTCATTGGAAGCCATTTACAAAAAAAAAATAGACATAGACATGAATGGTTCTTCATGTTGGCCTTTAAAAGGTTCATGTATGTGCTCTGGGGTGCTCATTGCGTGAGGCTGCATACTGCTACATTGGTGACTTTTAACTCTGATACTGTTTGGTTTTTTTTAATCCTGCCTTCCTGCTTTATTGTTTATTTTGTAGTAGTTATCACTACAGACATGTTGCATCTTTAACCTGTTTGTTGTTCTGTGTCTTCTTTGCTTAGAACAGAAGTCCACCAGGTCAGGACTTTTAATGAGATTTGTTCTCTTCTGTCTGCAGTGGCTACTTCCTGGAGTGTTTGTTCAATGACTGTTGAACAAAGGAAAGATTACTTGTTAGCACTTTATTTTTGTTATTATTAGCGTTAGGGCGTGCTTTATTAATTTAATTAGACCTTCTAAAAGCTGACCTAGGTTTGAGTCAGAATGCTTTAGACTGCTTCACAGTGAGCAGTTCCAAGGATTATTTTATATAATTATATTCTAATAAGTGGTGAGGAAAACACATATGAGTTGCTAGAATATTGCTGAGGATGCCATTCATGCCTTTCTGAAAACCAAGGCAGAAATTTATCTCTGCTTAGTTAGTTTCATCTAGACGATTGGCTAATTTTCAACTTGTAGACTCTGGAAACCCAGTAGTGGGCAGGGCGTCCTCCCTCTTGTTGGCAGCCATAAACCATAAAACAAAATGTAATTTGCCACAACATGGGTAGCCTTGTGCTGTGTGCTCACCCCGCCTTTAGCTCTGTTTACTTTGCAGTTTCCCCATTCACTTCATTTACCTTAGGTTCCTGTTGTGCTACCTTTCAGTAGTTTTCAAAAGACTCCCGTTCTTGCCTCGCCTATTGATGATATAAATAAATGAGATAAAATTTAATAGGTAAACATAGTAAACTGTTAATACCATCGTTTTACAGAGATAGTGATGGTCATTCGATATTTAGAAATGCTTTCTTTCTTTTTCTTCTTAACTTTTATTGATTCCCTGTGGATTTCACATCAGGCATCCTGCCCCCACTCATCTCCTGTCCCCTCGCTCACTGAGTGACACAGTGCCCCTTTAGTCCATTATCTTTAGTGGCAAGTGCCCATTGCCACGAGTCATGGGTCTGGCTTGAAGTCTCTGGTTTCTGCTGCACCACTGATTAGGGGCTCTCTCTGGGACTCCTCTTGATATCCTGTTGTGGTCCTGTGTACTGGAGATCCTGTAGTTTTGGATCTGTAGGTTCGCCCCCTTCTCATGCTCCAACAATACATAGAGACGGGTGATGTTGGAATAGGCCAACTCATAACCCTGGTTCTGGACCTTGGTGGTAGTTAGGTCCATTGGCCTGCCAGCTCTCCCTCATAGTCACTTCCCTGGTGAGCGCTCCAGCAACTGCCTCGGCTAGAAGGGGCAGAACAGTTCTCCTGTCTCAGGTCCCCAGATCTGGCCCACTCACACTCACAAACTCACACACACTCACTCATACACACTCACTCACACACACACAACACACTCACACACAACACTCACACACACGCTCACTCACTCATACACATTCACAACACTCAC